TTGGGTAAATATTTGGCACAGACAAGGAAGAATTTTGTATTTTCAGTTCTTCTCCAAATTACCTTCTCATGCCAGAATATTTATGATCTCTATATTTACCAAGCCACATCATTTTACCCCTCAACCCTACCTTTACTAAATTTTTCCACACTATCTGAATGCTGACTGCGTCATTTGGTATTGTCTGTTCTCTGAAGCACAGTGCAACTACCCTATGGCATAATGTCATTCCTAAAGCTTGATAAAATACTTGTGTTTGTATGAGCTTGTGTGGAAGTCCAGATTATTGTGGATCTTTCTGCTTCTTATGTTTGTGTTTTGAAATGATTGGAGCAGGGTGTTTTACTTATATACCTAATGATTTATTTCCGCATGCAGACTGACACTAAAAAGATATCAGCTGTATCAATATTCTTTGAAACAATGCCATACAGATTAGATGAGAGCACTGGCTATATTGATTATGACCAGGTTCCATTCCTCTTTATCTTCTGTGGATATTATCATTTAATTCAGAGAGAACTTTCTTTGTGCTGCTGCTATTTATTTACCATCACTGCTATCTTTGCCAATGAGTTGTCGTTTCTGATTTGATATTTAATCATTTAATTGTAGGCTGTACGTTTAATCTGGGTTAATTTCTTTACATGGTATTAAATTCTCGAGCCTTCAATTTCAACTTTCCGCTTTTAATGAATTTTAAGTTTTAATGCTTATCAGATGAAAATAGTTTTGATGTGTTGTTATGATCCTTATTATGTGTCCCTATGCCAATGCATGCTTGTTCAGATCTTGATGAAACACGTCCAGTTGAGACCCTGGTTCAAACTATTTTGACCTCTCTGGCTCAGTGCCACAGCATCATCATTCTTTCCAGTCTAAATCATTACATTAAGAAATTGGGTAAAGAGTTCTGTGTGCATGATGAATTGTTGGGTTTTACAAAGGTTCTGCTCTTTCATGCATGCTGTTCAGTGGCTCAGTACCACAGCCTCATCATTCTTTCCATTCTAAATCATTACATTAAGAAATTGGGGAAAGAGTTCTGTGTGCATGATGAATTGTTATATTTTACAAAGGTTCTGATCTTTCAAGCATCCTGTTCTCTTAGACTTGTACACAATGATTTGAACTTTTTACTTCCTTCAGATGGAGAAAAGTGCTGCACTTTTTAGGCCAAAACTAATAGTTGCTGGTGCTAGTGCTTATGCTCGCCTTTATGACTATGCACGCGTCCGCAAGGTTATTATATATCTGCACTTTTGCTTTTTAGAAAAGATCTTTAGACATCTTCATGCTCAACAAAGATTGATGGTGGTATTGTATTTTTTATGCTTGCTTTTTTATAGGTCTGTGATAAGCAGAAGGCAGTTATGTTGGCTGATATTGCACACATCAGTGGATTGGTTGCTGCTGGTGTTATTCCTTCTCCTTTTGATTATGCAGATGTTGTGACAACCACAACACACAAATCACTTCGTGGACCACGTGGAGCTATGATCTTCTTCAGGAAAGGTGTGAAGGAGATGAACAAGCAAGGACAAGAAGTGAGTCTTAAATGATAAATGTAATGTTAAAATAAGAAAAAGGGAATTAAAAAGAATATGTGAGGGCTACTCTATTTGCAGTAGCTGCTATCCCTGTAAGACTACATTTGTTAAAATGCTGTTTGAAAGTAATTTATATGTCTCCTTAGATTATTTCAAAGTTGGATGACATAATAACTTCTTCATGAACTGATTTCCTCACTCTTCAGGTGTTTTATGACTTCAAAGACAAGATAAATCAGGCTGTTTTTCCTGGGCTTCAAGGTGGCCCACATAATCACACGATCACAGCCTTAGCAGTTGCACTGAAGCAGGTTTTTTTAATTGCTAGCCAAGGATACATTAGTACCATTGTGGTCTTGTCATATATTTGTATGGAAGGCTAATATCATTTTGGCCCCATCATTTTTTATAGCTACAGATATGATTAGCAGTGTCTTGCTTTTTTGAATTGCCAGGCTCACTGTTCAGTTCTTTTTCTGTAACTCTAGGCTATGACGCCAGAATTCAAGGATTACCAAAAGCAAGTTCTCAGTAATTGCTCAAAATTTGCACAGGTAAACGGAGCTTGTTTTTTATTATGCTCGCTAGTGCTTTATAAAGCTATTGCAATGAGTCAATTCTCATTAGCTGTATCCTCTAATTTGTATGGTTTGGCATTAACTGTTACGGTTGACTCTTTGGTGTTGATTGGACTCCAGAGTTTGATGGAGAGAGGCTATGATCTTGTGTCTGGTGGAACGGATAACCATTTAGTGTTGGTGAACTTGCGAAACAAGGTAAAGGGTGTGATTCCTTCCTCTGGCGATTTCTTGCTAATTAACCTGTCCAAAACGACCTTCCTACGGCTGAATATTGATTTTGGCCAAAAACGAATGGCTGAATATTAATTAGTAATCACAAGCAATGATTAGTGATTGATTGTTATGTGCAAAATACTTTGATAGAGTTTGTCACGAGTCTCACATCGGAGAGTCCCACAATTAGTGTGGGGTTTATAAGTTCAAGGGACTCTCTCTCTCTTAACAGGTTAGTCTTTTGAGGTTGACTCTTCCTTTAGGCTTGTGTTTGTCAAGAGTTTTATAGAGTAAAGCCTATCCGTGAGAGTTAAGAGGAAAAGGGTATTGTGTGACATACATACAATTGTGTTACCGAACCTTCAAACAAATGAAGACTTCCCTAACTTGTGTGAAATCAACTTGACATGATTCTTATATTGATTAATTTAATGCATGCGATAAACCTATAATAATAGAATTAATTGGTCATATATTAAAACATGTCAACTTATTTATAATGTTTGGTAGGTGTTATTTATATTTTGGTTAAAATACTCTTTTTTCAATGAACGGTTAAAATACTCTTTTAATCCTTGTAGTTTTATTAAATCTTTAATTTGATATTTGTAATGAATTCCTTACTAATTAAATTTTATTCTGTTGAATTTTGTTGACGTCATACGTTGCATCACATGTCATCAGACATTATAATTTTATGTTGTGTTCTATTTGACAGGGCATTGATGGTTCCAGGGTTGAGAAGGTGCTAGAATCAGTTCATATCGCAGCTAATAAAAATACCGTTCCAGGGGATGTGTCTGCCATGGTTCCTGGAGGCATTCGTATGGGTACAGTCTCTCTCTCTCTCTCTCATCTGTTCTCTCGTTGTTGGTTCTGTGATTACAAGTTGAAAAGATGATCATGTGGTGGTGCTTCAGGAACCCCGGCTCTCACATCCAGGGGCTTTATTGAGGAAGATTTTATGAAAGTAGCTGAATATTTTGATGCCGCCGTCAAGTTGGCCTTAAAGATCAAAGCTAATGTACAAGGTTCCATTTCCATCTACTCACCTTCATTTTGTTTTGTCGTGCATCAGATAGGTCTAAGGTTTTTGACAATTCTGAATGCATAGTAAAGTATTCTTAGTTGCCACATTTGTTCGCTCATTCGTTATTGGTCTCTGCAAGTTCAGGAACAAAGTTGAAGGATTTCGTGGCAACATTGCAATCTGATGCTCAAATTCAATCCGAGATTGCTGATCTACGCCGTCAAGTAGAGGACTACGCCAAACAGTTCCCTACAATTGGTTTCGAGAAAGAGACGATGAGGTACGGCGAATGAAGATGGCGTATGGGATGGCGTGTGCTTTCAGCCTCCCGGATTACTCGCCCGGCCAAATGCTGGGCATTTGTTGTGATTAATGGGCGCAATAATGTCTAATTTTGATGAGGTAATGTCTTTTTCGTGGAGAATTATATGAAAGGATCTTTTCACATGACTATTGATCCGTTAAAATTAATCATTCCCCGTATTTCAAAATAATTGTTTATTTACGCGTGTTAAGAAAGTTATTAAATGATTTAAATTTATATTGTAATTAAATCTACTGTTATTTGACTAGAATATCCTCATTAAAATACATAAAGTATTAAAATTAATGTTCAATTGATTTATATTTATGAAAAGGATAAACTGATATAAAAACAATTGGTGCTTTACTAAAATTTTGAAGCGGCAAGTCCTTGGAATATAAAAACAATTGGTGCTTCACTAAAATTTTGAAACAGCAAGTCCTTGGAATATTTTAATTTTAACTTATCTAAATAATAATCATGTTCTCATTCGATATTTTAATTTTTTTAATTTTTTATATTTGACTGAGTTATAGCCAAAAAATTTTTGTTTACTTCTGTTGCATGCCTTTTCAATTTGAAATTCATATTTTGCACAATTCTGCCAAAATGCTTTTTTTTTTAAAAAAAAAAAAAAAGAAATCCTGCGCGAAGCTTTGCACAAATTTCCTGCAAGATGCACTGATGTCTATGCTATGGGTTAATCATTTTTAAAGCTTACCGAAATGCTTTTAAATTTAAATTACAGAGTTTGCTTTCTTAAATTAATAATTTAAAAAATATTTAGATTTTCTTTTCATGTGTAGTTGAACCTAGTTTTAGAAAGGGGAAAAAAATCCTAGTAGTTTTATTTTATCCCCTCAGTTTAGTTTTATCAGAGAACAGAGATCACAAAAACAAAAAGCTAATTGTTGCTTCAAAACTTGAACAAGACTAGAGTTTTTAACTTTTTGAAAATTAAAATTTTAACCCAATTATTCTCAAAATTTCATATATAACAAATTAAACTCGCATATTTCTTGAAGGGCCATTGGGAAAGACACCTACCTACATACCATGTATTTTAACTTACATATGATCTGGAATGTTATCTGTTTCATAAAAATTAATTCAATAATATAATAAATTTCATCAACATTTTAAAAAGAAATTAACATTAAAGTTAGCAATAAAATATTAAAAGATAATATTTATCCCGAAAAGTTATGTCAATAAATTCTTCCCCTTGAATCAGAGGCACTTATGTGGTAAGCAATATTGATTTTATGAATTGACAATTTAATGCCCACGGCATGGAATAAGGATCAATCAATCAAACAATATTTATATATGAAAACTCGGTATATTAATAACGTTCATATTGTACAATAAGGTCACTACCCTTGAGGGTTGAGGATCGATTATAATGGCGGAAGTAGAACTACAAAACTGATATTACAGGTCAAACGAAAAAGCCAACAGCACAAACACATATACTGATAAATCATGTATATTCATCGTCGTGATGGCTGATAGGTAAATTTCTCTCTCTCTTTCAAAGTTCGAAGATGTTCCCCAACAAGATTTTCCTTCTCTCCTTTTCAACTAGAGCAGATGTTAGAGGTGAAGAAACTACCTTTTTTTGCTTCTAGTCTTGGAGATCTTTGATTTGCTTGCTTCAAGAGGCGGTTTCCATATTATATCCTCAAGATTGCTACAAAAAGTCTTGTAAAACTGCAAAACAGAGGAGGGACAGCTTTCACAAATTATGAAACGGTGGGGCTCAACTAGTGACGAAAGAATTTCTCAGAAACTGACCTTGAGGTATTCACCCACATCTCCAGCTGTTTTTTGAATGTCCACCATTAAAAATGTGGGAGCAACTTCAAAAATCTGTACCGGCAAGAAGGGGGACATATGAAGAAGTGAATTAACCTGTCATTTAAATGTCAAGAGGCAGTTGAAAGTTGAGTAGGGGCTTAGAAACTTACTTCCAGTATCACCGAAAAATAAGAAGTCTTGTCTGCTGAAATACCCTCTACTCTCATCTGACAATTTATACCAAGATTTTAGATGACATTAAGAACTTTAGGTAGAGTTTATTTCAAATAGATATTAAGTTCAGATTCCGCGGATTTACGTTGACTATCAACGGAAATAAATAGGAGTGAACAATGCCGCATCAAAGAATCTAGAGCAACAAAAGTGGAAGGATTATGCAGATTACAGCATCCCAACCTTGTAATTGCGAATATGAGTCTTAAATCCCATTGATTGTGCCACAACTTCCATACTTGATAAAACCACCTTTGCTGGCTTTCGAGTGATAAAGCGTGTTTGGCAGTTCACAGAGTCCTGCAAGGATGTTACTAAAATAAATGTGCTATTATAGCCCTACTTTGAGAAAATATCAAGACTCATGACCCAACTTAAAAGGACAGTATGTAGGAGGTACAGCTATATTTTTATCACAGCATGCCCTTAGGATATTGCATGACTTTTTTTTTTCAATATTTGTGCATAATTATTGAGCCAGTGCACGGCAAATTTTAAGGAAAGGGTAAAATCAAATACCTGCCGACGATCGAAGAGTGATGCTAGGTTTAATCCTTGAGACAGAATTATCAAATCAAATGCATTAAGAATTAAAGGACCCATGTCTTCATTTTCACTCTGTTGATTGACTGTTTGATCCTTCGATGACAAAACAACCATATTCAGAAAAACTAAAAAGCTAATTACCATAAGGGTATGAGGAAATAAGAACGCATGCATCCATAATATTATGACCCAAATTACATTATATTTTGTAAGTATAATGCTGCGAGTATAAGGCGGAAAAATTAAGGTGGATTAGCTTTGAGGAAAAAGGAACGAAAGGAGGGGAGAAATTGAATTGAAATGGACAAAATGAAGAATTAACGCATTATCCGAACCTCAGCATCGTCAAAAGCTGCATTTACATCGTCCAAATTTACATCTTCATACTCCAGTAGACTCACAGGAACGTAACCCTTCTTAAACCACTCATCATTTCTTATCTGTTCAACAGTTATGCGCTATATGTATGTACATGCACGTACAGAAAAAGAAACAATTGGAAGTAGACTTGTCAGAAACAACCAGATGCATGAAGCATGAAGCATGATGCATGGATTAAAAATTATAACTACAGTAAAACCTAATCATTAGTACATTATTTGGAAGCCAAAACATTCCAGACGGAAGTTAATGTAAAAAATATAACTACAGGAATAATAGGACACATCCTTGATTCTAAGATATCCGCAGTATCGATACTCAAGGAAAGGACTAAGAAGCATTTGGCGAAACACACTAATGATGAACATTTAACAATAGCTCCTCTGAGTAGAGAATGTATATTTCTCACCAGGCAGTATCAATATGATCAGATTGTCAGGACCAGTAACATTAAATAACAGCTTCCTCAATTACTAATCATGTTAATTGAGCTTAGCCTGAAGGAAAAGCTTCACGAGATAATTTCCTTTCTACATCAGACGTGATATATTTAATAATTTTATGCGTTATTTATTAAACTAACTAACTTGTCGTGAGACTGCCAGATCAATCCAAGAAGAGAATCAATAAATATTGCTGTATTAGCAAGCTAAAAAGATTAGGTTAACTATTTAAAAAAAAAAAAAATCTGCTTCCTAGCTACTCAATGATGACACATTTTAGAACCATTTTCCCCCAATCAACAATAAAGGAAAAACAAACAACAACAACAAGCCTTTATCCCACTAGGTGGGGTCGGCTACATGGATTGCAAGACGCCATTGTGCTCTATCATTTATTAAGCTTTTAGAAATATTATTAATTAAGAGATCACGTTCAACAACTTCCAAGAATGTTCTCTTAGGCCTTCCTCTACCTCTCTTAATCGGACTCAAAGTTATATGTTTCCACTCTTCTCACTGGTGCCTCCCTTGGTCTTCTTTGTACATGCCCAAACCATCTCAACCGATTTTCTACCATTTTTTCCTCAATAGGTGCCACCCTCACTTTTTCACGTATGTGCTCATTTCGAATTTTATCTTTACGTGTATGTCCGCACATCCATCGTAACATTCTCATCTCTGCTACTCCAACTTTATGCTCTTGCTGTCCCGTTAGAGCCCAGCATTCACTACTATATAACATTGCCGGTCTGATAGCAGTACGATAAAACTTTCCTTTAAGTTTATTAGGCACCTTACGGTCACAAATAACTCCTTTAGCTTTTCTCCAATTAAACCACCCAGCTTGAATTCTATGTGAAATATCTCCACTGATTTCGCCATCATTTTGAATAATGGCTCCCAAATATCTAAACTTTTTCACTTGAGGTATAATTTGATCTCCCAATTTCACTTCCAAATTATTTTCAAATAGTCCTTTACAAATTTACAATATAAATATTCCGTCTTACTTCTACTCAGACGAAAACCTTTCGACTAACAATAAAGGAAAAACCCGCAAAGAAAAAACAAAACTAGAGGACATGAACAGTACAAGTGCTTCTGTCAGAGACACTTACCTCGATAGGACGCCATTCAATTTCCATGTCAAAATTAGTCTAAAATGAACATTAGCACTATATACGATGAAGAGCCATGGCCATTGCAATTTTCTTTCCAGGCACATCTCCAGTTTCCTTTACGGAACATACTTTTCCATATACTAAACATGCTATTAGCTTTGTAGATCCTTGTTATAGAAAATGAACCACATCGGACTTATGATTCTATATTCACATAGCGTTAAATCATTAATGGATAAGTTGAGATTGTAAATGCTGTGCTATAAGACTTAATTTGTTCGTTCAATACTTACAGTCTGAGGATTTGGGTCCAGAATTCTATGTATTAAAGATTTTGCTCCCATTGGAAACCACGCTGGGCATGAAAACTCTGCTCTATCAATCTGCATGAAAGGGTCAGGGAAAGTCAACAGCATCATAGGAATAATCCAAAATTCTTTTTGATCCAAGCATAGTTTAAAAGAAGCAAACATTAGACAGAGGAATACTGCAGGAACTTGTAAGAACTGCAATTCCCATTCCACGCCCAAAATCTGTGCCACTCACAATACTGTTTCAAAGAAATGAATAGACAGACAGGCGCCCAAATAGCACTATTTATCACGACAGAAAAATATATACCAAAAATGTTTGAATTCATGCCTTACTGTATAACGTGGTAAGATCAAGTTCATCAAAGGGAAGATATCCAGCCAACAGAACATAAAGGATAACGCCACAGGACCAAACATCTGCCATAGCACCATCATAACCCTTGTGACTCAGTACCTGAGGCCAAAAATGCAATGCCAGATAGAGAAGCCAGCATCAAAATAATGAGTATCTTCAGTAGACATGAAGTCAAATTTAGTTAATCAATTTGCTAATTGCTACCCTTACATTTACCTCAGGAGCTACATAATTTGGTGTCCCACAGGTCGTCCGAAGGATACTAACCCCCTGTGAATTTTTCCCAGGTGTCATGGCTTTCAATAAAATTTCGTCTGCATGAGTTAAAGTCAGATTTAAGTCCATTTAGTAACAATCTCACCTGTTCTGGTAATGCACTCAAACCAAAATCTGAAATCTTCATATTTCCTTGTGAATCAAGCAAGAGATTTTCAGGCTGCGGAAGGGAATTACACCGGACGGTTAAAATACTATCATGAATAAGAAAAACGACAAACTTCCACATCCCAATCAATGCAAACCTTTAAATCTCTGTGATAAACTCCCATGCTGTGGCAAAAGTCTACACCATCAACGAGCTGTTGGAAGTATCTTCTTGATTCAGCTTCACTAATACGCCCATGGTGTACCTGCACGTAAATTTTATTTTCATAATCATTATTTCCAATATCTTGAACAAATCAGAAGAAAACCAGAGTAGAGGGCAAGAGGCTACATAAAACAGGAATCTCTGAACTGCTTACTATTTTATCAAATAATTCGCCACCTGTAATGAACTCCAAGATGATATAAATCTTAGTACGGCTTGCTAGAACCTGAAAATAATATTTCACGAGAAAAAGGAGATATTGAACTTGTTGCAGAGTTCATGAAAAATAGCCAAGCAGACCTTTTATGACCTGAAAAAAAGGAAAAAGGAAAGAAAGCAACGCAGGTCTGAGATCCAGAAAATATCACATGCCTCGTGGAGACGGACGACATTTGGATGTCTAACTAGCTTCATAATAGAAATCTCCCTCTTGATCTGTGTTATATAGAAGAGCTACGCGTAAATTAGAGAGTAGAAACTATAACGATGACAACCAAATCGTGAATCGGTCATGCAATTTCGAGTGGCTTAAAGTGACTCGTTGGAACGTCAATGTAGTCAAAGTGTTAGCCATGATCAAAATAACAAAGGTTCTTTTTTGGCCGGAAAAATAAGAGGTTAAGAAGTCAACTTTCTTATGTGATCAGACTGCAACAGAGCTTTTTATACATCACATAACCGAAAACTGTTATATACCCTAGTAATTTAAGTTCAAGTAATTGTCATTTTACCGCCAGGGTACCATGTCCAGTTGTCCACAGATTAGAAATTAGAACTAGCTGTTCACCAATTTAAGTTACTGTTCTAAATCCTCTCGTGGCGAAGCACTTGCTCCTAAGTTATCAAGAAACTTGCAAGACAAGCGCAAGCCAAGGCAGCTGACAGACTCAACACAGAAGATTTGGAAAATGACAATAAGAATAAAGTAAATAAAAATTGGCGGGCAATTCAGATAATTCTTAGAGATTGAAAACCTTCTTCTAGAATACTTCGAGTAAACTCTCGGTTTTAAGGTAATCAAGGATGGACAACCCTTTTCCTCAGATAACATTGCTTTTTCTGCCCATGGTTTATGCACTTCCTCGACCAGAAGAATGATTTGAGCAAGTAAATGCATGCATAGAGAGATCTAACTATCTAGAGAATTAAATTGTCAATAATAGCTGAAATTAGAAAATTCACACTACGTACCTGGTCCACCATTTTGTGCTCGATGATAGTGCTGCGATCGAGCACTTTCATGGCGACGCTCTCCCCGCTCTCTGTGTTCTGAGCGAACTTCACTTTGGCAAAGGTGCCCTCCCCAATCGTCCTCCCAATCTCATACTTTCCCACTTTCCTCACCACCATGGCTCTCTCTCCCCCCCCCCCTCCTCACTGCACAAATCTCAGTTCCGGCATTGCAACACACGCAACAGTCAGAACTCCTGAGAGGCTGTCTGGAATAAAACTTTACCAAACCAACAGACTTCTTGCTTTTCGAAGTATTTAATTAATTTGAGTGTTGGTGAGGAATATAGATGGGAAGATTTGAAAAAAAGGAAGCCACGTTGACAGACGTAATAGCCAAAGTTGGTTGGTGCCTCATAGGATCGACGACGAAGGAAAAATATATATTCTTTAAAAAATATTTTAAAAAATGCCCCGAAAAAAGGATTCCTGGCTGAGGAATTTCTCGGTCGGGAATCTAAGAAAGCCAAGAGAAAGAAAAATGAAAAAAAAAAAGTCTGGAAAATGAAATACAGGAAACAAAGTTGAAACATTACAATTTGGGACTTTCAACTAGAGAATCATTTTCTTCTGACCAAAAAAAAAATTGAAAATCATTTTCCGAAGTTACAGTGGGAAAAGCAATCAACTTTATTACCAGGGGCGGTGCGCGAGGAAAAGGTAAAGAACTAGTAAAAACGAAGCTTTGCAGTTTTCACAACTTGTTGTCACGACTTTAAAATTTCTCTATCGTTAAACCATATCGGTTTTAATGTGATCAATCTCTTAATTTTTATTAAGTTGGTTGAACTCTTATAATATAAGCAAAAAAATTAAAAAACTCAAACATAAGAGATGAGAGAACTTAAAAGCTTTATTAAAATGTTTTTTTAATTTGTCTTGCTTCACTTGTTTACAAATGGGAGGGTATTTATAATCTTTCTTCTTATTCTAGAGTTTTCCTACCTGCTTAATAGATAGTGGAGATCAATACAATCCTACGGTTTACATTCATCTTTTAGAGTGTTTCGTAAAAATATTTAAATATTTATACGGATATTTATAGACCAATCTTTAAGATATGTGTGAAATATTTTAGAATATCTTAGAATATTTTAGACATCTCTACATCCCTTTCTAAGTTTCTAGAACGTTCTAGAAACTTTTAAATTTTTTTAGATATTTCTAGATTGTTCTAAATACTTTCAAAACATTCTAAAACATACTAAATTCTTCTTGAACGTCTTGGACTATCCTAAAAATCTCTGCATTGTTCTAGATGTCTCCAAAAGCATCATAACCTCATGATTTCTTCTCTTTTTAAACAGAGGTTGTGACATTGTGCTTTTATATTCCTTTCAACATTTTATAAACTATAGCCCCTGACATATATAGGTGGGGGAGCTTTTTTTTGATACAAGATTAGGAAAAATTGTGCAAAATTAAGTTAAATCAAGGCATATAAGAGTGTGACATTTTAGTGAAGGTTTGTCAAAAATTGAGATGTCATCATTGTCATTCAACGCTTGATGAGCAAGCCAATCTGCATAATTGTTGGTCTCTCTAAACACATGATTGAAGTTGATAACCCAGTCATTCATGATGAGACCTTTGATTTTCTTTATGGTTTCATTAAAGGGATAGTCCAAGTTGTGATAATACTAAATAAGTGATAAAGCTTAAAGGGAGTCAAAGTAAATATTGACATGGGTGAATTTATACCTTCAACAAAAAAAAAGACCTTTAAAAATGGTTAAGAGCTTAGCTGCAATACTTGGATAACAACCAAAGTATTTGGTAAAATATTTTATCAAATTACTTTAATCATTACGAATGAAATCACTGTAAGTTATAATTTTATTGGTGAAGGTAGAGCTGCAACGTCCAACCTCACCGAGTTAAGTTTAAATAGAATCCATCTAATAAGAGATTTGTCATGGTTCAAAAGCACATTTTCGAGTTGATAGACAGGAGGGTCTAACGAATGAAACTGTGAAAGTGAAGCAGGGGATGTTGCAGTGATGACATGGATGTAACAGATTGGTGGGGTGAGGGGGCGTTCCCGCCTTTTGGAATCATCTACGCTGCTGTGCGAATTGCTACCTTAATTTTCTGGCTATGGAAAATCTTTTGACACGTTAACCCTTTAACAAGAACAACAACAACAACAATAATAATAAAAAAGCGTTTAATGATCAAAAGCATCACGGTAAAAGCCAAAAAAGAAAGTTATTAAGGGCAAAACTTGAACACATGCATTTATTATCATTTTTAATTGTAGAAACAGGTACTAACCGTCTTCTTACATGTTCCTATGCTAAATTTATAAGTAAGTTAACATAATTTTATAAATTAAAATATAAAAATAATAAATTTAAAAAGTTAACTCGTGAGTTTAACTAAATTTTAAATAATCTAAGTTTATTAGTTGAAAATATAAAAATAATAAATTTAAAAAGTTAATTTGAGAGTTTGACACAGGCGTGTTTGCCGGCTTCTTGTTACCAACTTAACGAAATATGCTGGCCCAATTACGGTAATATCATGGCCAAAAGCCTAAAATGATGTTAGTTTCTGATGTTTCCTTAACACAAGCACAACTTACGCTTGCGGACCCAAAAAATGGAGGAAAAAGTCTCAATGCATGGTCCCTTGTGGGGGTAGGTCCAGTTTTCACTCACTCCATTTTTAGATATTGATACTGATAATTGATTGATTAACACGGTGTTAATCTATCGTGCCATGCCACCAGTGTCAATTGAAGTTTAGTTGTATTTGTCCTTCGTATTCGTACACTTTCTAAGGAGTGGACATGGATCAAATGATTAAAAATTAATATTAATAATTAATAATTTAATATATAACAGGTAATTTGTTTGAATAATTTAAAGATTAAAAGCTTGTGCACTAGCCAGCTTATTTTTGCTTGACGTGATACCGTGTTTATTCATGCAAGCTCGAGAGTTTATTACTTGGAATATATAGATGTAGGTCGGCACATTGGTTTCCCTCCCTTTTAATTAATAACAATTTAGTAGTGACAGGGGGCCGGGGACAATTATATATTCTCTAGCAAGATCTACAATATTATTATGTTACCAACTGGTACTGATATCTTCTATAATTATTATGATGATCCGAAACAATTATTAATTATATTATATATATATATAAGGCATATAGTTTCCTTAACCTCCATCATAAAATTTTAAGTTCAGTCAACGACACTAAGTACGGAAGGGATAAATGAAGATAGCTGCCAGGGAAAAAACGTACTGATCTATAAGTCCTTCAAGTTCAAGGATGTGCCGTAAACACGTGCAAAATCAAAACTAACCTCGAAAAGAGAACATGGATCTTGGCATGAATTCAATAGCCTACATTTGGGTTATCGCCATCAAACAGTGAAATCTGCTTTGGAAACCTTCCCTTCTTGACTCAGAGCAGTTCCACCACCACCTTGTGTTCCATCACTTCCGGTAGCCACCTCTAGATGTGGAGGCACTACCCCACCCCAAGCTGCTGGAGCCGTAATGAAGACCTGCCTTCCAGCATCTTTGTAAACCATCAGTGGGTACCCGGTAGGCTCTCCTACCTCAACCTTTGGCTGTGCTATTCCACTAGCTTCGACACTGTTAGCCCCAATTCTAGACTATGAATGTGGATATGAAAGCGATGCCAGTGGTACTCCATGGTAGAACTCACTTGTTTGGGCCGTTCTCGGGACTCGATAGCATGGCTGACCAACAGTTCCAGTCACGGCTCGCAAAGTGGTCGCATGATACATTATGACTGGGGTTGCAATGAGATACAACGGCTGATCAGTAACAGTTACAAGGGCTGCTAATGAATAACCAGCACTTGTCATGAGTCTTTCAGGCAAATAAACTGTCACCGATCTCGCTATTGATACCGGAGCTGGAACAATATGAACAGGCGGCGCTTTCAGTTTCTTCAGATTTCTCTGAGAGTTATAGTCCATGGATTTATTAACTGTGCCATTGTCTTCATCGCCTGTTGGTTGGACTTGGTCATTCTTTTCCCAATGCAATCTCTGTGACTCCTCGATCTGTATCTGGATCTCAACTGGTGATTCCGTCGGTTCTCCAACGACGTTTCGATCTTCTGATCCACGATCCGTTCCCATAGGAGAACCATTTGTCTCTGCAGGCGGAATGGCAGACGCAGGAGGAGGAACAAAATCAGGTAATTTCGTGGCTGGAACAATTGAATATCTGTAATCCAATCCAGACAAAAAATCTAAATTCGCAGCCGATGCAGCCACAGAAGTTGAAGTGCCCTTGACATGTGGAATGTGCACGAAATTGAGTGCGTCTATAAACCGCTGCTGCTCTGATTTTAAATCGTTTGACTCAAAACTTGTCAGAGCCAAAGGTTTTGGTGGAAAAAGGAACAGCCTCAACCTAGCGGGCTTCACCGACTCACGTTGAGAGAGATCATATTCGATCAACATGTGCTCTAAATCCTCATCGTTAGTAACCAAAATCAAAGCATCAAGATCTTCTCTAAGAAGTTGGTACTTGATGAAAACATCAGCATTGCAGAGAGAAGAGAGCTTCGCCGTCATAGCCGAGAGCTTAGCGTTGCGATCAACGGCCATGATCTTGGTATCACCACCGACATAAGCAAGCTGATTATCGTGGGTCCTAAATTGGATATTTCCACCGTAGCTACACATGAATTTAACTTTGTGATTGTTGTTGGTGGTTGTGGTGAAAAAAGGATCGTCCATCGATGTATTCTCGTTGTCGACTTCTTGAGAGTAAGGTGAGGAGTGGCGGGAATCAGGGTGGGAAGCGAGGGAATGATTCTCCATTACTAGGGTTTTAAGAATTAAATCAGGTTTCAGGGACTTAAGGGCTAGGGTTTGAAGAAATTGAATGTAATGAGACTATGAGAGGTCTTGGAGGGGTGTGAGGATTGGTGATACAGTGTTGTTTTGGGTGTAAAGAAGCATCCTCCCCCGCATTGAATCGTGGATGTGAATATGTATGGAGTGAAATATTGGGTGAATCGTGTTTATTGATTTTAGTTATTTTTGTACTAGTTTTTTCTTCCTATCAATTATCAATCATTTAAAAACACTTAAATAATTAGGAAAATCTTCAGTTTTATTTTTTCGGTAAAATAAGATCTTTAATTTTATTTCTCTCCAAAATATTTCCTTTCTAGTGATGCTTCCAAATATAACTAATACATCTTATAAATGAATAAATAGGTAAAAAAGGAAAAATTAGAACAGGTATCTCTATATGATTATTCCATTATTGGTTTGCGATTAAAAGTTGAAATAGAAATATGGCAGTATCTACAACGCCATCGCATCAAATATAATGAGAATAAAATAGAGCCAATAATGACATTATTTTACTATCTCAGATTTCTTTGTCAGCAGCCGCAGGAATTCTTGTGACCAAATATTTGATTTCTTTTGTCAATCAGATCAACTTGTATTAGTATTTCTGTGTTTATGCATTCCCAACAAGACTGATAAGTTTCATACAGAATAGAAAAAATTACGGAGATGTCCTTGTTCTCCTCTGAATTCGGTTGATATTTCAACATAGGAAAGTTCACGTCTCAGAAAAACTGAAAGGCCCCTGTTTGGTTTGGACCTTTTCCTCCTCTCTTCAATTGCGTTTCTTCATCACAAACTCACATATAATTAACAGCCAACATGTAGCGAAGACCTGCTACATTTAAACCTATAATGTAACGCAATTAATACCCTTCAGTTCAATAGTTTACACCTATGAAGAGGTGACACAACTGCTTCTCGATCTTCATTTCTCAAGGTTTACTTTATAAAATCAACATCCATAAGCTTGATACGAAACGACCAAGACACTTCCCAGTCCCAGGCCACTTATCGCGGTCTGTGGGATATTACTACCCTATCACATCACGACGTACTCATTTCACAAGCAAGAAGTTCCCAACAAGAAGTGCTTTTTCACTAACCCAGCGTTTCTATGAGAAAAGAGATCACTGCTTCCAGACGTTACAAGCACGAACGAAATATGGCTCTACACATGTGCATGCACGAGTCCCTTTTAAAAATAGTCTTTTATCTAAAGAACCACGTTTAAAGCTTTATGCTCTATTTCTAATACAATACACTAGAAGCTAAGCCACCCCTCGCCGCTCCCATTCAATAAACTAGTGATGTGAAACCCAAAATTGTCTGATTGTCACTCACTGAACAAAACAGTTTGGTCCAATCAGTTAAATTAATTTGACATTTAAATCGGGTTGACCCGGATGGTTTTAAGAAAATCAACTTTGACCCGAAAAACTGGAGCTAGTCAACCCAATTCAAAACCAAATAATTAAAAAAAAATTGGTTAAGTCTTTTATATTTGCGATTTCTCTTCTTTAATCTCTAATTTCCTTCTGTCTTCTCTTCTCTAATCTTTCATCTCTCCATCATGGCCCAAGCTCAATATCTGACTTCTCCTCCAACTCTAATGATCCAGCTTTTGGTATTGAGATTAGAAGCTCGTGAATCGTGACATAATAGTGTGCCTTCAGCTCCAGTGTTTTCCTTTAATATCATAAGCTTGTGCCTACATGCCTCTGTCTCCAACTCTAGCAGTCCAGGCATCTAACTTTCGGCATCAAGATTCCAAACACCATAGACAAATTAATATTTTATTTATATATTTGTATATATAAATATTATTTTTTATTTAATTTTTATGTTATCGGTTTGACTGTTAGTCTAACCAATTGAACCATAAAAATCGCAATCCATTATTCTTTTTGGTTCGATATCTAGTTTGAGTTTCAAAACACTGCAATAAACTCATTCAAGATCAAATCCTTGTATTTATATATTAATTAATTTATGAGGCTAAAGTATACTTTTAATCCTCTAACTTTATATAAAGTTATTTTAATTTGATCATTTAATTTTGTAAAGTATCTTTTTGGTCTTGAACCCTAATATTGTGAGTTTCAAATGATTTTTTTATCTCAATCATTATTATTTTAAAAAAATTAAAATTAATATGTCAATATTTGAGAATATTTTATCAATATTTAAAAGTTTAATGTAAAAATTTATTGAGAGAAAACTAACAGTGTTAAAGTTAAAAGATTAAAAAAATATTTTATAAAATTAAAGGATTAAAATAAAATATTATATAAAGTTAAAGAATTAAATATATCTTTTTTTAATTCATTAATAATTGCTCCTCTCGGCATCGCTAACTAATAATAACAATTAACAACACAACCAAAAAATCTTGGCCTTGACCAGCGACGGCTAAGTTGATTAACAGTCTTGAATTACGAGAGTGAAAAAAAAGGCCTATCTTTCCTGGAAAAAGAGTCAATTAACAGTACGATTGGGTAGTATCAATTTATAAAGATTTCCTCGAAACCTTTTCTGATTTTATTTACTTGAAATAAAAATATTTTTATTTCTTCGTCAATGGATTTCAGGATCAAATAGAGTTGTCATCATAATTTTCACATGTTAATAGAATATTAATTAGAAATTAGCTTTGAATAATAACCACAAATACAAATTGGTGTTAACATCAAGTTCAAAATCAAACATTTTTAGCAGTAACAGTTCTTTGCAATAAATTAGAGTCAGTAATTCGGACCAAATTCAATGGGCCAACCTAAACCCACCCAAAAAAGTTAGGGTTGGGCTTAGTTATATGAACTTTTTTAAAAGGGAGATACTTTAAGCCCGATCTAAATAAGCTCGACTCAAATAGGCTCAACCATTGAAATTTTCATCTACATATTTATCTAGAATTAGTAACTTTAACCAAGCCCAACAGTTCAGCCTAAATCCGGCCAAAAAAAGTTAGAGCCGGTCTTGACTATATGGGTTTTTTTATGAGTGTAGAATGTTTCGAGCCTAAACCTAAATAAACCTGCTTGCTCGAATTATCGACCCTACAATAAATGTTAAGATCATGGATATATACTACGACTTGTGTTTTAAAATGATGGCCTAGTTTGAAGATTTCATATAATTATTATCTGTCTAAAAATTTATAAATTATTTCTAACATATTTTACCTAGATCAAGAAAAATCATAAAATTCATTTTGTCTAAAAAATTAATAATTTACCAACTTTGCTCTTATTAAAGATACTTACTTTAACAATATATATTTTTCTCTCCAATATTCAATAGAGGGTAAATAAAAAAATTTGTGATAAAAATTTAATGAGGTATATAAATAAGACAAAAAAAAGGACCAAAGGGTCATTATATAAAATAAATACATCACATAAAAGCGAAAGTATGTATTATTTATTTATTAACTATTTATTAATTAGTAATGAGTCATTATATATAAAAGGATTAATGAGCAAATAAAACCTTGAACTATTGCTCAAAAGTCATCACAAACCCTAAACTCTTAAAATATATAAAATAAATCCTAAATTTTTAAATTCATAGCAAAATAAACCTTGACAATTAACTTTTTAACATTGTTTCTGTCTACGCAGGTACTGTTCAGGATTTATTTTCCTGAATTTAACCCTGACAGTTACTGTACCCATGTGGACAGTAACAATTTTAAAAAAGGTTAATGGTCAGGGTTTATTTTTTTATGAATTTAAAAGTTTAGAGTTTATTTTACATATTTAAGAATTTAGGGTCTAGTGCAATTTTTAAGCAAGAGTTTAGAGTTCTATTTGCTTATTAACCCTATATAAAATTAATGATAAACAAGCAAATTACCTCTAAAACTCTAGGTCAAGTAGCACCAAAGACCCTAAACTCATTTTTTTCTAAAAGTTATTCTCTCAACTTAAAAAAAAAAAGGTGCAATTTAACCCTTGTCATTAACAAAAATTATAATAAAAGACCTAAAAGCTACACTGTTTTGAAAAGTTAAGGAACAATTTGCATAATAAATAAATTTAAGATCTATGGTATTATTGAATTTAAAATTCAAGGGATAATTTACTCATTTATCCTAAAATTAAATCGTATAGTAGTTATATACTTTTATTGTTTATTAGAACATTATTTTTAAAAAGATTTTTTGTCTTGAAAAAATATTTTCCATCTAATATGCCATAAACATTTTTAGTTAATTAATACATGAATGTATTGTAATTATAAGGGAAAATTGGTGAAAAGGGCCAGGTTGGAAGCTAAATTATGCCTGAAGACCAAAGTGCATTAAGGGACCAATGTTATATTTTATTCAGAAAATGATGAAGGAAATGGATGAAAATACCTTTTGTTCTTGCGATAAAACATTCCAGTGAATTTGAGATGATTTTCGGTGACCCTCCTCCTCTAAGCCATTGTCTTCCTTACTTTGCCATTTCACTTCCATCCCCATCGATCACTCTCAAACTCGCCTTCACCCAAATTAATTTTGTCTAATAATTGCTCTCTTATTTGTATGTGTTTAATTTTACAACTTTTGCAAACGTGCTACAGTTGCTTTTGAGACCTCATCCACTGACAGGCGACTCCGTCTATCTTCACTTCTGGTTTTGGATGAAGCAATTTTGCTGTTATCTCACTTGAAGTGTGTTCCATGGTCTCCCACAATCGGGTGATCTCAGTCTCTTCATCCTCCTCCCTTTTCTTAGCTCCCTCAAATTTCAACTCAAGGTGCTTGTTTCATCTCAAATCTAATTATATTCTTGCTTTTTGTACACCTCTCAAGAGAAATGAGATCCAATGCAGAGAAACTTGCCTGTAAATTTTGTACTTTTTTACATGTAATCCTTAATGTTTACATGTAATCAAGAGGTGTTAACACTTACCCACAAAATTGTGCTTTCACAATGATAGTTGCTTTAGTTATCTGAAGTTGGTTTCTATACTTAAAAAGACTTTTGCTAGCTTCTAGTAGAATGTGTATTGGAAGAGTCATTGCAGACTATATAATCTTTGAAGAGTTGTTTAGAAAACCAAGAAGTTAATGCGAGGTCCATTTATGCATTTTGGTGAACTGAAAAGGATATACTTTTGACACATTTATCTTTCAGTGTTAATGAGAAAATTTCAATATTGTTGGAAGAAGATTTGAGAATGATTATCTTCACTCTGTTAAATAAACTATACTGATGAAGTTTGAAACCTATTGAATATGACCAACTAATTGATGAATTCCATTCAATGATGCAATTAATTTGAACTCAGGTTCCAAGAATTTTAAGCATGGTTCTATATAATTGTCCATTTCATGACTTATTTTCTTATGATAATTCCATTACGAGAAAGATAATGAAATTTTTTTTTTGGATTTAACTAGAGAATTTTGGCACACTCTATCCCCCATCGATTATTTAGCAGTAAATGAACTGGTTATGTCCTCTTATGATGTTCTTCTACCTTCTTTGTTAGCTTCTAAGGACTATGCTATCATTTTTATAAAGACGAAAATCTATAAACTTTAGAATACAAACGAGTTTACATATATTTAAAGAGTTTACATGTATACATGCAATATGAGATTACTTAGTTATAATTTATTGAACAGGCACCCCTTACTGAGTAGTTGGTGTTTAGAGCATGTATGATACCATTACTTCTCTATGAAGGACTCAAAATATACATTGTTATACTTCTTTGCCCTGTATTCTTTAGCTCGGGTAAGTGAATACATTTCTACATGAAAAGATGTATATTTATTTGGGACACTTTATGAAGCAGCATTTTCTGTATGACACATAATAAGTAGCCTTTTGGCATTCAATTGTTGAAATGTTATCAAAAGAAGAGATTAAGCACCCATTAATGTTATCTTAGGCATTCATATAATGGCTTGCTTCTATCTTTAATTAGACCACAAGGATGAAGTTCATCATTCATTTTATGAAAGCTATGAGTGTTGTCTTTATTATTAGAATGTTCATGATCTATTGCAAGACCAATCAGAATAAATTTGCATCCACTGTCAAACACATATTTACACAACTTCAATAGCATTGTCCAAAGTTACTATGCATGGAAATAATTTAGACTTATGAAAACTATATATATTTTGGCTTGCACTTGCATAAAGGGCCAATAAAGGTTTTAGTAGCTTACATCCCTTGAAAAATTTTCACTTTTAATCTTGACTGACAATGATGCTATTTCATTTTAATCTTGATTGATAATGATCCAATTTCATTTTCTTATGAAAATGAAAATTATCATTCAAGTGATATTCAAAACAAAACATTTATTTGCCTTACTCCTTACATATTATATTTCAATAACGGTTGTAATTGATAGATGTAGGGCCAAAAATAGTGGAAATGAGATATTTTCTTATAATATATGCTTCAAAATAAAGTATTTGAATATGGAAAGCTATATGTCCTAGAGACCTATAAAGGAATATAACAGAGACAATGTTCAATATCTTTATCTTTTGTTCAATTTAAGTAAGACAATGCAATGAGCAATTTTCTTTGTTTCCCTTCTTAAATGTTGAGTATGTTTTTATTATAATGTTTGATATTACATTACTTTACAATATCCCTTATGCTAATATTCATTTTACCATTTTAGTGCAAAGAGTAGATTGCTAGAAGAAGGGTTGCACCCTTACAGAAGTACCTTAAAATAAAAGTAATAAGTTTGGGAATTGGTAACACTACTAAACCCATTCCATTTTGAAGAAACATCTTATACCTGAATGCAGTATGACACGAATGACCCACTTGTGATGGCTATTAATTTCTATTTCAGGCATAATGTTTTAGACGTATTAAAGCATAAAGTTCCATATAAAGATGAGAAAAAATAAGTTCAAGTAAAGAAGCTTTTGTAAATTTAACTTATGCATATCATAACTTAAGTCAACTATAAGGAAATGTTGATTAAGAGATTTTTTTGAAATATTGAATAAAATTATGATTATACTTTAAAGTGTACTTATTTGTTTTTTTCTTTGTATAGGATAAGATGTAATTTAAGATGGGCATAATATTGTTCTTAAGCTCCCATGGTATATTTTTTGATACGGGGTGCCCTATAGTCTTTATTTATCATATTCATTGTACTTAACAGAAAAATAAATCAAATCTAATAGAATTAATGTTTTTTCATTTAAATTATTATTGTTCATTCTTGCTTTTCACATTTACTTGTTTTCTCGGGACAATTTAGTTGTTCTCAACGTTACATTATTGAATCCACATTTTTTACAGGTTAACATGGCTTGCTCTATGATGTATAATACTTAAAACAAAGAGAAATTATTGAGTGTTCTCTTATTTATTTTTTTATATAGGGCATGAAGTAGTTTAATATAGGCATGATGCTGTTCTTACTCTCTATAATATATTTTTTGATTTGGGGGTACTGGAATTAAAGATTGCAAGGATTTTGGCTTAAGGTGTAAGGGTTTTAGCTTGGATGTAAAAAGTATGGCTTGGTTACAAGGCTTTTGGCTTAAGGTGTATGTGTTATGGCTTAGGGTGCAAAGGGTATGGCTTGGGTGCAAGAGGTCAGATCTAGTTTAGAGTGTAAAGCTTCTAGTTTAGTCATTTTCATATAATTTACAGTCATTTTCACGTAATTTAAGGGCATTCACATTGATTTACATGCAATCCATAGACATTTTCATGTAATTATGGGGGATTGACAGGAGCGGCTCTTTATATGTTTGATTTACATGTAATCCTTTAAAGATTACGTGTAAATTATTCCTCAGGCATGTTCATGAATTTTTCTCCTCATCGATTTACATGTAATTAATGGTAGTTTATATGTAAATTTGAGGCACTAGCAGGGGCATCTTCTTTGTGTAATTGATTTACATGTAATTCGTTAGAGATTACATATAAATTTTTCCTCAAGCATGCTTGTGAATTTTTTTTCATATTGATTTACATGCAATCCATAGTCATTTTCATGTAATTGTAGGGGATTGACAGGGGTGTGCTTTTTATGTATTTGATTTGCATATAATCCATAGGATATTACATGTAATTATCAAAATTAGAAGCCTTTTATCCCAAGCCAGAGGCCTTGTACCCAAGCAAGAAGCCTTGTACCTCAAGCTAAAAGCTTTGCATTCAAGCCAGAAGCTTTGCACCTCAAGCCAAAAGCTTTGCATTCAAGCCAAAACCTTTGCACCTTAAGGCAAAATCCTTACATCCTCTAATTATTGAATTTACATGTAATCCTTGATGTTTACATGTAATCAAGAGGTGTTGACACTTTTCGACGACCTGCCGATTGAAGCTCCGATAGGTGCATTGTCACCTGCAAGAACTCCGATGATTAGAGCTTTGGCGAACAAATTTTGCGCCTTTTTGAAAAAAAAAATTAACACATAGGGCATTCCGGTCATTTATTTAAATTATTTAATGAATAAAATATAAGCCTTGGTTCTTCAATTGTATTTGGTCCTTGAGACTATTTTTTTTTTCAATAAAATCTTTTTTACTAATTTTCCCTAATTATAATACGATATAATTTAAGTAAATGTTCCCCTGGTGCCCACCCTTATCAGCTTTTTGTCAGTCTTTAAAAAAAAAAAAATTAAAAAGGTGTGGTCTCACAGACACAGAGTAAATGGGATCGGCCGAAAAAACAAGTAAACAACAGAGGACGAGGGGAACCATCCAGGCCCATACTGAACACGACGTCGTTGGATTCAGCATCAACTATATCAACGATCCCACACAGAATTGAATGTGGGTTTAGTCCCAGCGACGGAGCTTTTCCAGCAATGGTGAAAGCAGTAGTTGGAGAAGATGCTCAACTCAAACTGGTTGAGGATCGTCTCAGCCAATCTGCTCTTCCTGCTGAGGTACTCATTGCCTTTTCATATGCACTTGTTTGGTCTGTGAAATTTTACATCACGGATTCTATTTCAGTTTCATTCTTTGCCTCTTTCTTTCATTTGCAGGTGGGCCTAGTGATAGGCAAGCTGAGTTCCACTCTGGACCGAGGATTCGTGTTGGATTTGATTCCGACCCCGCAAAATGATTCTAACGAACCTGCTTGTGCCATCATGGATAGCTCCAAGGACGACAAGAGAAAGAGCTCCAAGTCCAAATCTCTGGTCAACGATTCTTCCTCACTTTTCATCGATATGGATTGGGTCGCTGAACACGCTCGCCAGGTTCGTTAATATAGTTCGGTTAATCAGGAAGTTTGCTGACAAGACTTCACGCCGTGATCTCTTGATTATGTTGCTCGTGGAAGTGACGAGGGTGGAATTTCAGGTGTCTAGAATGCTTGTTGGCGGCATAAAGGTGGTTGGCATATACATTTGGGTTAGTGAGAGTGCATTCAAGAATTCAACCGTGGTGCTTTGCCAGGTATCATGCTTTATTCATTTGAATGTAGCTTAGTTCGACAATGAAGTTTTTGAATAGTGGTATTGGCGGGTGTATCTGTGTTGTTCTGTAGAATTATAACTAATATCAATGGAACACATTCCCTTGCTCTCTTTCAGACAGTGAAGGGAGTTGCTGAGGCGGCATCTAGTTTGTGGACTGACTGGGATGAAAGGCTGCTTCTTCACATTTGTTATAGCCCAAGGAGGTGAGCCAAACTTTAATAGCTTGTTATGTCCTAAATGGCATCATTTAGCTGATCTACCCTTTGACACAATTCTCATGGTGCTTGTGAGTGCAGGTGGAACTGCCGAAATTGCTCACTATCTTCAAATATTACATCAAGTAGTTTAAGGCCTTGTGATTTTAAAATGGGAAAAGTCTTGAGTTCCCTTCAAATGTTTAGGTGTATGTACAACTTCAACCTCAGGTAAAATTTTAATTTTTCAATATTGATAAATTCTAACTTTGGTGACATTTGACTATCTTCTTATCTAGTAATCTACTATATCAATGTTATTTGAAGATAGGTCAGGTATTAATATGTGGTAAATATGAAACCCAAAGTTTTGCCCCCAAAAAAAAAAACAAAGAAAAGGACAGAAAAGAATAGAAAAGAAACCCAAAGTTCTTGAAACGCAAATAGCATTGCCGTGTTGTGCCCTTGATTGAGTGTGAACACATGGCTACACCCAAGTTTTGGATTTAAATTTAAGACTAAACGCCCCACAACCAATTTACTTTTGACCGCACTGAATCAGTTCGTGACATCTCTTAAATCTTTTTAAATAATTCTAGGACCAAGTGATTTCCATTGCTTGGGCTCTTCATAACCCCCTTGTCATCACTACCTCTCTTCTCCACTACTCCCCCATGACCTCTACCAGTGTCGTAGTTGCTTCTTTGTCCTTTACTTTGCCTCTCCTAGGTTAAGTTTTTTTGGCAGGTGACACTTGGATCAACTGGCCCATCCTGTACATATCCTGAAAGAGAAACCATATCCTTGATAATTGGAAATAACATATGTAAAATAATGTCTTCAAGGCTTTGGAAGGTGAATATAAACAACCAACCAAAAAGAAAGAAAGAGAGGCAGGGGAGATCATGAGCATAGAAGCTAAGCAATGTACTCTGGATATGGCCCCTCCTTGAAGCAGATGTGTTGGCTGTCTTGGCTGGTTGTTTTGTGATCATGCAGAGTCTCATAACCTGGCCTAAATTTCCAAGCACTTGTTGTTGTTGTAGTCATTGAGATGGTTGGTTCTTGGTAGTGAGCACAAGTTTCTGAAAAAGTTGAAGTTCTCATATATGATATATGTTTTGCCAGATTGCCCATATTTCATGAAAATGCCTCAAAGTTTCAGACAGTGAGTGATGCTCTTCATCGTGCTATATCTATTCATGCCAAAGAGCTTAAAGATGCAAAGGCCTTGATTGATGGTGGATTGGTAACTACACTACTCTTTTTTACCCCTTTTCCTCCATCCGTCTTAGTTATTTGAATTGTAATTATTATATACTAAGCATCATTCATATGTAATATTCCATTGTGTTATCGCTTTTTTAATAGGATCTTATTTCTTCCTTTCTATAAATATAGGTTGTTGATAACGAGCAATGGTCATCAGGTGGTGTGCATGAAGTTGAATTGCTTCTACCATTTATGAACAATTCTCCAGTTGAAGGTAAGTTTATCTATAATCATATTATAATCTATTGATTTAATTTCTATATTTCTGGTTGTTCTAATAGTTCCATAGCTAACATTAATGGTATGTTATAAAGCATGCAGCCAAAGAGACGTACTTGGTATTCTTTACTTTAGTGGTTCGATATGTTCTTTTGCATACCTGAATTCAAAAGAGCCAATTTCACAAGCCATCACTGATGTAAAGGTAATCAATAGCAGTCCATGTTTATTCTACTCATCATTTTACTGTGAATCAAAGGAATACTTGAGGAAGTTATAGAAGAGGATCTTATAGTAAATGTTGTCTTTCAAAAGTTAGTTGTTCTGTGGTCGATAAATCCCAATGGTATTGTGTGATCTGTGTAGTTGACCTTTTTTAATAGGATAAGGCTTCTTCTTGTTGTTGTTGTATGAGGTTGGCTGATGTTGTACCTTCTTCTTGTGAAACTCATAGTATATTGTAAACCCTATGTATTATTATGTGACATATTAATAGTTTGCAATTTTGTAGCACATTTTGGCAGTGATGAAAGGTCCTTATAAAACTACTGACTTACCTATTTTAACAATGAGGCCTTTGAGCAATGAATTGCTTAATCTTCTTCAGATTGCACTAACTTGGGTCCCTTGTTTTTGTCCTCTTACATCCTGATCACGATTCTTTGCACAGGGAGATATCATCATGAGTTTGCAAAGTAGGTTGGATATTATCTGTGATGAAGCAGAGGATGATTCAGGTTCTAATCCTGATGATAGCACGGAAGCAAGTGATGAGATATCAACTGAAAAAACTGTTGCCAAACTAATTTTGCAATTACTAAGGTCCGTGACTCATAATGTTGATATATTTGACCCTAGGATATATTACAATGTTGCTTGGTGAGAAAACTTTACCAATGATATGTGTATGTTCTCAATGTAACGCTATCAAATGATGCCTTTTCAATCTATCCCTTCAACTGTTGTGATGTGTGCTTGGCTTAGCAGTGGCTGGCATGGATCATTTCTTGCTTGTTTTGTAAGGTTATTGCATTTGATGACCTGATAAGACTTGCTCACTGAATTATGTATTTCAATTGCAGGAAGGATGCATTCCATTTTTCTTTTATGCATTACTAACCCATTATATAGATAACGACTACTCTATACATAGTGTGTGTTGCAATGTGGTTCAATCTTAGGGTTAGGGTCGTCTGGAAGGCATATGGTCTATGCAAGAAAAGTCTTATTTTATTTGTTTACCTTAAATACTGATGGAGCACATGACAGTTGATTCTTGACATCTTCTAGCTGAAACATTTGTTTACTTGGAATTATTGGATGATTCAGTCATTTGTGAAGCTTTAACTATATTCACTTAACTGTGCACCCTAATAGTACATGTTAGACACTGGCAACCTGGATAGGTTGTGGCTTAATTATGATTAGCTAGGATTTATTCATTTGGAGAGGCTGTTGCGATGTTCAATATATTTAACACACACTGCTACTGTTCTTTTTATACCTCATTTAAATTGTCCGCTGATGTTTTTCTACTTGTATAGCAGTGAATTTATTAATTATTCATCCGAAATTAATATTCTTGATCTTCATTAGAGAAAAAGGATATATGAATTCATTATAAGACATTTCATTATTTTTGGCTGTCAATGCTATATGATTTTTGACTGTGACTATAATTATCACGCTTTCATCAGAAACAGAAAAGGATGCAGCCTTCCACTTCCTAGAAGGGTATTTGCACCTTGGCTAGCAGGGATTTATGTATGTGACTACTTGCAGCCATCTGAGACAGTTGAGGTTTGTTCTCTTCCACATTGAGGTAGTAGAAATTTGTTTTACAAATAATTTGCATGTGCCTCTCGTTTATTCTTACATGTTTACACGGGGATTTGGCATGGGTTTCACTGTTGAAGGGTGTTCTGATTGAGGGTCATGGAAATATATTTTCCAATGTCGTTCGTACCCACAAAGAAAAGCAAAGGAAAATAATAGTGTTGCACCGGTTTCATTGCTTAGCTGCTGACTTGCGTTCATGCCTTGGTTTGCACATTTGGCTAGGGATACTGCCCCCTTATCCAGAAAAAAACTAAAAGAAAAGACCAAAAGAAAAGAAAAACCATCTCAGTAAATGTTTAGTATTGTTACACATTAGTTTTAAGACTACATGCTACATACACTGCTATTTTGTATTTAAATTACTGTTATCTTGTAACCTATATGAGCCTTTTACTCAATATAATGCAGAGGCTATGCTTATTCTTCCCCCCCCCCCCGGGGGGAAAAGTTTCCTTTAAGAAAATGTTTATAGTTCATGTGATATTCTGATTCGTGTTTTGCATGGTTCCTAAGGTGTTAAGAGATCACTGTACAGAGCTATTATCCGTGAAATCTCCAGCTGATGACTCGACGATTTTGGAGCCAGAAAAAGAAGCCTCAGCCCTTATAAGTAAATCTTTCTGGGATATAGCTGTGCCGTTTGGTCTGGCTATTCAACACTTGGGTGAAAATGAGGGCAGCATTGAAGACAGAGGAGAGCGTTCAAGTAAATCTTCAAAGCCAGTTAGCATTAATGTTGTGTCTGCGGCTCTTATCCTTAGCCTCGCAATCGTGATTGGTTTTGCCATCTTGGTGCTAAAGGGTTGACACGTCAATAAACATCGAATCTCTGTGTCTCGATTTATTTCTAAACTTGTGATGGGAGAATATGTTTGACGAATCCAAGCCAGAAACAGGTATTTTCTCAGTGTTACAGCTAGTTGTTATTCATGTATATTTGGTTATCCTTCAGAATAAAAATGTATGCTGCCGGAAAAATTAGGGAGACTAGAATCAAAAAAATACAAGAGGAGGCCTGCATTTGGATTAAGCAAGGCCTGCATTTGGATTAAGCAAATGTTATTTTTCAATTTTTTTTTATAATGAAAGGCCATTATAATATTTGGAAAATAGTTCTGTCTGTCAATTGCAGTGCAGTCAATGTGATTTTGATTCTGAGTAGCATTTCAAAATCGTGAGTTCATCCACTTTTAATGTGAAAACACAGATACTTGTGAGATCAGTTGAAACCCACCGTATTCAGCTTATAAGTCTAGGAACGCTTGTTGGAGTTGTTCTTCGATGGGATGGCCAGAACGATTTCCAGCAAGGTGTAACTACCCCCAGCCCTACAAAATAAATAAATAAAAGCCATGCATTTTATTGTGAATGTATAGTCCAGCATATTTATTCTTAACGCATAAAGATTGTAACCATCTTATAAAAAGACAATCTTGGAGTTGATGTTTCTGAATCAATCCCCATCCGTTATCTTTAAATTTTGGCACCTAGATTTCCAATTTCCTAGACATTTTTCCTATAAACGTAATTAATGCATTAGGTATCAGAAGTAAATTAAATTATGTATGTTGGCACGTTGCCATTCAGAAAAATTAATGGGCCGGTCCATTCCCTTGATTTTTCTCGTCAGCTACATCACTGGGAAGGTCAAGGCCATGAGGAATCTTGCCAGGATAGTTTGTACTTGACTCGTCTGATCCAATCAAACTGCAGAGGTAAAACTCAAAATAATGAATTTTCTGCATTAACAGCATGGATAACTAATGTGTTCTGCATGCAAAATGCTCACCCTCTGTCAACGATAATCACTGAACGCAGCTCGCAATTAGCAAAACTGCAAAACAAATAAGGAGAGTTTTCATTTAATCCTAAATAATGAAAATTTAAAAGATTTAGGTGTTGAAAATAAATTGCCCCGGGTAAAACACTTCCATCATGTTATCTTTCATTTTTTTCTTCAATGTAAATGATTAATTTTTAACAGCACCGTCAAGAATTTTATTAATGTTACCAATTCGCCAGGTAGGACTTTCCTCATGTGAAGTCTCTTCTTTATCTTTCATTTTTTTTTCTTCAATGTAAATGATTAATTTTTAACAGCACCGTGAAGAATTTTATTAAGTAATTTTATTAAGTAAACCCTCGTATATTTAAACAAGTTAATCCAATTAAGAAATACCCAAGTTACAGATATAGAGTTCAGAGACTTGCCCAAGCATATCTGCTTTCTAAATAAACACATCCGGAAAGTATTAGTAATTGCCAGATGAGTATCTTGACCTATCACAGTAGAATAGAAGTTGAAGATTCTTCCTTTTTTCTCTTTTCATTTCCTAAGGATTGGAATTGTATAGACTTAGGAAAATCATATTTATCAATTACTTTTTCGAATGTACATGTCAAAACCTGTAACAATCTTCAGCCATTATTTCCAAAGGAATACTTACTGTTTGCATAGTTCGCTCTTCACAGTTGGATGGCAGTCATTTCCAAAAGCGCTTAGGGCATGAAATAGAAAACCACTGTGAGAAACAATAGCTATCTCCTTCTCTTTACGAGTCCATAACCTGCACCAATAAGGAAATCAGGGAGAGGAAAAAAAGTCAGACCCTTGGTTATGGCCATTTCCGGCCTTTGATGGATAACGCCCACATAATTGCCTGGAACATAATTTACTCATTGGAGATAAAAAGAAGAAAAATGCGAGATCCATCCAAAATAGTACATCTTGGTGCCATCCTCCAAATACTTAAAATCTATGCAGCTAAGAATCACGGGTCAACTACATGCATTCCAGGATTGTGCTTAAACTTGAATTGCAGAAATAAGGGACCACTACAATCATAACGACATGGCGAGGCCTCTTTGGTAAGCTATGCTATGACTTAATGAAAATTTTGATGTTCTTGATTACCACATAAATAGACAAGAAACGTGGATTGGAATTTGAAACACACTCACCATTTCAAAAGCTTTAGTCCTCTAGCAGCAACTTCAGCATTCTCCTCTCTACTGTCAGGTGTCCACAAAATGTCCTCGTCACTTTCTATCTAAAACGAATTTAAATAAAGTATGAACACAATCCAACCAAATTTCAATTACCTACAACCAATTTAAGCATCAGAAAGAACTTAGTCATAGTAGCTCTCGTTCACAATATGAGAAATCAATCAAGATATAAATCACCTACCAGTGAAAAGTTAATTGCAGGAAACATATCCCGGTACTCATGAATACTTCTTCTCTTATCACAAGGATGAACTCCCTGGTTTACAAAAATAAAACATGACAGAAATGTAACGGATGTTTAAGCCACATGAAATTCCAAACAGGGGAAATGAACAGATTTACATGGCAAACTTTTAATCTTCTTTCTCTTCATCATAATTGGCAACCATAAATATCTCTTCTCATATAACAAGGATGGATTCCCTGAGTTGCAAAAATAAAGCTTGGCATAAATTTAATGGAATTAGATGCCAAATGAAAACTTAGTACGCTAAACTTTTAATCTTCTTCCTCCGCATCATAGTTAAATTTTGTCACCAACCACAAACAAGTCCATAGGCCACATAATTGCAGAAACAAAGCACTGTACTAATTTTATGAACAGAAAGAGCTGGTCGAAAGCACTTGTGATGCAGCGTATAAGCTAAAACAAAAGAGAGGGAGTGGGGAGCTGACCACACCTCATCCTAATCCTACTCTGAACCACCCAAGACCAAGGACAAGACTGGCCAAACCCAGTCAAAGGATGGGTTCGAAAAAGCAGCAGATGAGCTAAGTTAACAGGGCACCGCATGATAAGTCAGGCAGTCAGCCCTGGAATATGAGAACTAGTGATGCGAAGTCAATTTCATGAAGGCAAACAATAACTGGGCCGAAGTTGGCATTGACATGTATGAGCTTATATTCGATTCCGCAAGAAGCAGAGAATTCAAGATGAGCAGGTAGAAGATATACAAGTTATGAATTAAATTAAGGTAGTTTGTCTAGTAGATTTCCCAATCACTAATGTTGTTCACTCCTGAAGCTTTTCAGATACAAAAAGAAGCAAAGCAGACAGATAGGAACAAAAAGAATCTAAGAAAGCAAAGAAGAGGTTGGTGTTAATTACTAGTAGTTAACAAAATACACAGAGCTATGCAATCTTTATCAAGCAGAATTTAGATTACCAACATCACATACCAAATGCTCCCGGCAAAGCTCAACTGCTATAAATGGAGGGGAATTCAGACTAGAAATTGCAGCACGTCCACTGTGTCCCACATTATCCTTCATCAGAGGAGGTGCATCAATCCCGTCAGTGTATGCTTCACCACCAAAGACTCCTGCTGCTGTTTGCATGGTCCTGAAATGCAGTAGTTAGCAATTTTAACTTAAAATGTCTTCCAACTATTTTATCCACTAATGTGCAAAATATTAATAAGCACAACAAAAAACAGAGTACGCATAATGGGTTACGAACTGCTGAAGGGACAAATTCCTACCAAGAATCTTATTATAAATAACCTCCAAGATAATAATTAGAGTGCATGATAGAATGAGTTGTTCACAAAAATATCGTTTCCAGATATTATCTCTCTTTCAAGAAAGAAAACGAATCAGAAAGCATCACTCACGCATAGTACGCAGATGTTCCAAACTAAAAAATAAGTGGAAGACATCAGATTGATAGATATCAGACAAATGCTAAGTATAGACACACACATGACAGACCAATAGACAAAAATAGAGGTATCAAACTCAGTTTTCTTCTAGAGTCCCTACCAAAAAGAGAATGAGAAAACTCTCTCTCAAAAACATGAGAAGCTCTCTTTCTCTTTCTAAGAAAGTCACTTTCTTATCTATCAACCGTAACTAAAATTACCTTCCTTCACATTTTCCCTTTTCTCGAAGCTTTTTTCCAACTACCGAATGCAAACCTAATTCCAAGATCATATTTCCGTCATGTTATCTTAACAGTTATCTGATGCAATCTACCTTCCATGGTTTCTAATTATCTGTACATCAATTTTACACTTTCATGGTGAAAGGCATCGAGATTCCATTTTCCAACTTACATTGCTGAAGAGTATCATAATCCGGAATGGTTTATAAATCTTTAAGAAAGGCCATTACCAATTATACAGTAACAGAAGCAACAGATCTGTACAAAGAGAGCGTCATACAAGTCCTAACAGGAATCCCAATTAATAAAGTCATACCTTAACAAGGGGGAAGAAATCACTAATTCAATTTTCTTGGAAAGACCACATGCTTGAACATGCGCCCGCAGATTATCAACCTGTTATGGGGCACAAGTAACAAATATTTGACTATGAATATTTATGTTCCCTCCTGTAAATAACAAACTAGAATTTTATGCCAGGACACATCCTTGTCGACATAATATTTATTTTCCCTCCTGTAAATAAAATTACGGCAATATATGGCTATGATACCTATTTTCCACTGAAAGAATGAAACGTCTTTCTTATTTATGGTTGAAAACACTTCCTAAAGGAATTCCATTCAACACAAAATCCATCTTCAAATGCTTGATAAGATAACATTTAATGATTTGAGATTACCTGCTTCCAGCCAAGAGGGGTTAGCTGTGCATCAAAATAATCATAAGACAAGTATGCTTCGTGGTTTTTTTCTCCTGCTACATTGTGAATCCCTTGTGCATGTCTAACCTGTGTAGCAGCTTAAATAAGACATTACTACTCTTCAGGGGAAAAAAAAAGGATGACATTAAGATGACAGCTAGTTTCAAATTTTCAAGCTAATGTAATTTTGTCCACATCAAACTACTTTTAACGCCATTTCCACTTTGTTGTAAGAAATATTTTTAGTTTGAAATACCATCTTATATTCGGTTTGAAAAGCCATCTCATATTTTCAGTCAGAATTATATTTGAACACGTTGATATTTGAACGTGATATTATATCAATGCTTTAAAGAAAGGGAATAGTAAGCTTCAATAGATAAAGGAGGCCACGAACCAGGTGAAGAGTTTTACAACGATGCAATGGGTAGATACTTTGACCTTCGTTGGCATCCATATCTGCAGTGACAAAAAATGACATCCAACAATTAAAGGTGACTATATCAATAGTGTCAAAGCAAGACTTCACGTCCACATTACATTTACATACCTTGAACGTTAGCAGGATAGCTCTACAAGCAAGAAACTAAATAGACGCACTAGTTGGCAAATACAGAAGCGAGATTAATTAAACACTACATAATGTGCGTACAAAAGACAAAGATACAGCAAACTGTTGCAAGCCTAAAAAGAGAACATAAATCAATTTAAAGTAAGCAAAGGAGAAGATGCTATTCAGCATACTCGGGCATATGCTACAAAGACAGAGGACAGCACCAATATTTGCATATAAGAATTGCTCCAATCCTCGTATAATATAATAATATCTGATCGTGTAAGTTGAGCAGACAAAGGCTGAAAACGACATTTTATTAGGAGAAATGTGTCTGTTTAATTGTTCTTCGATCAAAACTAAAACCTAAAACGGTGGTTCTCCTAACTACATGCGTCAGCGTTGTATACACGCCGAAACGACGAAGAGTACAAATTCCAGCAATCGCCATTTTTCGCAAATGGAACATTCAAAATCGAGGAACGTAGGGAAACTGTTTGAGCATAATCAATCGAGAATCCACTGTTTATGTTCTCCTTCCGCGTCAACAAAATAACCGGACCAATAGCACCAGCGCATTTATACGGAATGGAAAACGAACCATTCCTCGGACAGTCATTCAGCATCACAAACACTAATCCTTATATGGAAAAACATCAAATCACCGGATCAACTTAAAACGGGTCAAGATTTAATCCGAAACTGAGGTACCTGGAATCACCAATCGAAACAATCACACGACGTCACAAATGGAAGTAAGCATCTTCTGGCAAAGTGGCCAACAAGATCAACGATTAAAAAAAAAAAAAAAAACGGGGGCCACGTTCATGAGAATTCTCATAGCAGAAAATAACATCAGAAGAGGATGGAGAAAGAAAAGGGATGGAACATGGGAAGAGTACCTGAGCGAGAAGACAAGCAAAGAATAGAAGAAGAACGTTTTGGAGGTGGTGAGGAGCGAAACTCTGAAATGGTGGTGAGGACAAGAGTGGGATTCAATAACATACGGTCAGGAGTATATATTGACATGGCGTGTACGGTGAGATGTGCTGCGTGCGTGCGCGAGAGAAAGAGTGAGAGAGAATAGTATAATCAAAAATCAATTTGACAAATAATTCGTGACCTCTCCCTTGCCCAGGCTTCGCCGTTCCGATCTAAATGTGCTTTTAGCTCGTAGAGAACGAGAAAGGGTACGTGTTTGGCTTCTCGTCTTATGCACATGGCCGATGCTCATCGTCGCAATGCTGAAGCAAGACCTTTCCCCTTTGCTTCGTGCACCGCAGTTCCCAACCTGGAGGAGTCTGACGTGGACCAATCATTTTTCGCTTCGTGCTCTCTTGTGCCGCTCACGTGACGTATTGTTGCGCCATCCGCCCAAGAACGTGTGAATGGCTTGGCCTTGGCTTGACTGAAAAATTATTAGTTTATTTTAACCCAAAAAGTTTACTTTTTAAGTACCTTGGTTTATTGTTGGTCCAAAAATAAAGTACCTTGGTTTTTTAGTTTATTTTATGTGATTAAGCGTTAACGAAAAATCATAAATACGAAATTATTTTTCTTCAAGGTTGGAGGAACAGAGAGTATTATAAGATATAACTGATAGTGGGGAAATCTAAGTTAACTCGCCCAGTAGAATTAACCAATAGTTAAACAAGTATTTCCTAGTTAAAATCAAAAAATTAAATATTTAAAAATATAAAATATTTTTAATATTTTAAGATATAATCATTACATTTTTAAAAAAATATTTTTTTATATTTATTGTAAAATGAAACACTCAATTATATTAGAATAAATATAAAAAGATAATATTAATTTAATAACAAATAATTATTTTACTAAAAAATGTGATTTGATTAAAAATATTTTATATTTTTAATGAAAAAAAATATCTTAATTGATTTAATAAAATATTTTATTCATAATCTATCTAATACAATTCATTTACAATTTTAATTATTAACATTTGAACCAATAATTTAACCAGTTAATGACTGGTCCTTCCTTTTTTATTTTTTAATTCTGTCCATATAATATTTTAGTGAAGTGCCGTTCAGCACGAGGATGGGATTTTTTTTTTTTTTAACTAAAAGCAGGGGAACAGGAACGGTGATTTTGTCATCTTGTGATCAGGATTCTCGGGAATATCCTATGGTGCTTGCAAGAGACAGCCTGGTATTCAAGGAGCATGGGAGGAAGAGTTTGCGCAGATTACTATGATCTATGAATTGATGACTTGCGGAGATTGCGTCCGTGAAATTAAAGTTTCAGGACAAGGTTTATGCTTTCTTTAAAAAAAAGAGTAATAATTTAAATAAAAAAAATTCTGAATATAAATATTAAGATATTATGTCAATATTTATTATCTCAAGTTTTTCAATGTCTTTTTATTTTTTAATATTTTTTAATTATTATTATTTTATATATTATATTTAATTTAATTTATATATTCGTGTTTATAAATAGAAGGTACATTGATTATATTCTACGTATTAAAACAAGAAAGCTTTTAATTTTCTCATTCTTTCATTCTTTCCATATAATTTTCTCTTTTTTCTCCTCCTTTTTCAATCAATGTTATCAACATAATTGCTCAGCATTTGGTATTGTTAGGCGAATACCTTTATAATTACTCTCTTCATCTTAAATTATAAAATATTTTTAAATAAAATCTCATATATCAATAAACTTCATTAAATACATTTGACAACCTTATTTTTCTCAAACAAAAATATAAATTTTTAAAAATATTTATTATTTAATATATTGAAAAGAGTAAAGATAAAAATTAATTATAAAAAGAGAAAGCATAATATGAAAATTGGTGCGTTTAATAAAATCTTAATCTACTCAAAGTGCCTTATATTTTGGGACAGAAAAACTCCTTCAAAAGTGTCCTATAATTTGAGATAGAGGGAGTACTGTATTAGAAATTAATACTCATACTAGTGAATAATTTTAATAAAGATAAAGCACGCTCAGTTGAATATTGGGCAAATTTTTATCATCCACGCACTCTGATAATTTTATATATTATTTATTTATTTATTGAATTTTTTTGTTCAATTATTTTATTCCTCCATCAATTAATCAAATAATTACATGCATGCTGAATTAATTTTAGAATAGAGTGGATTCAAAAGTTATCTATCCATAACATAAAGTAGTCTTGAAATTTTTTACATATAATGTTAGAGTAAATTTTAAAGTTATTCACATAAAAAAAATAAGGTGAATTTTGTAGATATTCATACACGATATAATGTGGATCCTCAAGATTATTACATAAAATACAAAATAAACTATGAAGTTGTTTACATTCAAAATATCTATTGTTATAGGTGTCCAAGTCATCGATCTAAAATATAAAATATATTCCAAATGTATCAACGATACTTAAAATAAATTTTGAAGTCATATGCCCACGCCGAATGAAGATCCTGAAAATATCCATATTCATTCATTCATTCATTTATCATGGAAAACTTACTTGTCATAATGATCTGTTAAAACAATTGATTGATGCCTCCAATGAGATGATTAGACCAATATTAAAAAAATAATTTTTTTATAAAATATGAAAGTTTGCATGTTACAGTTCTTATATGCATCAAGTCAATAAAATATTACAATAAAAAGAGAATGAAGAATTACAATGAAATGAGGATATTGATAGAATGTAGATAAAAAACTGGCAGAATTATAAAAAAAGATACGATACAAATAGAATTACATTTGCTTGTCCATGATATAAAAGCTGTGAGCTTATAGTTCAAGCACCTAAAATGTGATGTATCATACATGAGCACTTATGCGAAAGAGAAAAATAAATTGTCATATGAAAAGCTTGACTATCAATATGAGAATGTCTTATAAAGATCGAATATATGTATCAAAATACTATTTCATGGTGGATGAAATTATAAGCAGATATGTTACTGGTACGGCAATATAAAAATTTGATATGTATCTAATGAATGATGCCTTATTTATATTGCTTTTTATATTGTGGTATTTACTTGAGAATCCAAAAAGAATCATAACAAAAGCTTATAAAATTGTTTGAGAGATTTTTTCTGTCACTTGTTTATATGGTTATATACATATTGATTTGCATCAAAATTAATTGATCTAGCTTTATTGAATATTTTGAAGATTTTACATGAGCATTTTATTGTTAAAGAGAGATGTCAAGATACTAGGTAGACTAGATGTGAACCGAGCTTTCTCCAAGAAAACAATGAAATATGGTCCTAAAGTATTATATATAAATGACTTCATATCATAATTTATGATATCGAATTGGTTTGTAATGAAGTTATGCATGTGACATGATATGTTAAGAAATTATTATGTGGTTACTTTACTAAACTTATTTAGGATTGAAATTAATTGATCATGAATGTGTTGTACGTATCTAGTTTGAGCCATATGAGTTGACCTTCAATGAGTTATTTATCTATGAAAATACATGTATGTCAATCCCACAAACTATATGACAAGTGAAAAATGTGTTTATATTCGAAAGATATATACGGAGAAAAACGTTTTAAAGGCAATGATTCATACATAGTATAGTAGCAAGAGAATATCAACTCACAAAGGTATCAGCATCAATAATATTCAAAAATTAATACACAAGTTCATGGTACAATAACTAAATAAAACTCAAGAACAATAAGTTACATCGTCATCAGAGAGAGTAAGTTGTGTTTTTTTTCCGTGATCAAGATTTTGTTCCATTGAATTTTTTTAATAAAGTTTTTAACAATGTAGCTTCAATAAATATGAAGATATTGTGTGTTCCTTTTCCTTTGCTAAGTTTTGGAACAATTGTTTCACGAGACACAATATTTAAACATTTTAAAGAGGAGTGTTCAAAATATTAAGATATTATGTATTTACGTGGATGTTTATTATCTTAGATTCTTTAATATTCTTCCGTTATCATTATATCTTTGCTTTATTATTATTTTATATATTTTATTTAATTTAATTAGTATATTTATGTCTATAAATAGAAGGCACTTTGATTGTATTCTACACACTGAAATGAAAAAACTCTCAATTCTCTCATTCTTCTATTATCTCATTATAATTTTCTCTTTTTTTTTTATTCTCTCAATTTCTATTTTCATAACACAAACAAAAGTTGAGGACAATTTAACCATGAGTTTTGTTTATACGAATAGACGCTGCATTAAATAATTCTACTTGATATATCACTCGTTTTACAATCTTTCCCAAACCATTTTTTATTTGTTTTTTGTCAGCGAGGACAGGTTTTTTTATGCGTGTCGGATATTCTTAAAAATAAATAAAATCATTTAGTTATAAAATCGAAATACACTATATTGAAATTTTATATTGCTTTAATTGACTTAATTGTTATATTTAAAAGGAAAAACATAACTATTGGTTTATATAATTTTATTGATTTTTTTTTTAATCCTGCAGTTTGTTTTCAATGTTTTCAGTCTTGATAGAGACTAAAAATACTAAAATTATAAGGACCTGAGTAATAAATGTCATCCAATTTTGTTGAAATTATAGAAACTAAAAACACTAAAAAAATATAAGAACTAAAAATAAAATTTAATAAAATTATAAGAATTAATGATTGTGTTTTTCGTGCTTAAAGTATGAAAAGATTTTTTTCACCAAAAAAAAAATACAAGAAGATCACAAGAATTGCATTTCATATAAAAATAAATTCAGAGAATGAAAAGGAAACAGGATAAAATGTTTACATTTGGTTGATAACTAAATTCTTCAATTGAAAATTAATATAGTTTACCTATTTAAAATGACACCATAAGTCACCTGGGGCTAGTTCCAGTGACACAGGAAAGGTTAACCACAACAATAAACAAGTGCACCTTAAAATAAGGTGTTTTTATGATAAAAAAAGGCATTGATGAACAAATGTAGCAGCTATTTAAAATTATTTTTATTTTATTATTATAAGAATTGGTGTTTTATAAAACATGTTTTAAAAATAAAAAAAATGATAAAAAAAGGTGTTTTTTATTCTCTCTATTCTCTAGAATAATAATCTCAGAATATTTAAAAGTTTTTTTTATTTTTCTATTCTTTAAAATAATATTTTAATTTTTT